GCTGGGAATAGCTTGCTGACAAACACGCCGTATTTACTCATGCAGATAACCTTTCAGTGTTCTATGAGTCGGATGGAGATGATGATGCGCGATCTTATTTTCCATGTCCTTTCTGTTATGTGGAATCGAAGTTCCTGTTCTCTGCAGCCATCTGCAAGAGGAGCATTGCTTTGACCTAAATAATGCCGTATGACTTCTGTTCTTAAATTATGTTTATGCAGAAATTTTTGTTCACATGATTCCTTATTGTATTGAAACTCTATTGTTCCTTTTTCCTTGATTGATTTGAGTAGACTGTACTTACTTGGTCTTAGTTTTAGTTCCTTGTTTGGTACTTCTGTTTTGAAATATCTGAACAAAACATTTTTGTACCTAGTTGATATAATACCTTATCCTTACCTGAATCAGATGATAAGGATGAGACAGAACTTTATAAACATCATGTATTATTATTGAATTCCGAGTGACTGCTACAATGTTCCTGTTTCAGGTTTGCCCTCTCTGTGCTGCAAACTTAGGGAGGGATGCAAATGCACATTTTATTGTACAACATTCCAGCTCGGTTAAGGTATGTCCTGAATGTATTCTGGTGTGTTTTTTGGGCTTTTTAAGCATTTGTTTCTTGTATAATGTAGTTGAATGTGTGTACTGATCTCATGTTTTACAGCGGAGGCGCAAGCCTGAGAAATCGAACAGCTTGTCTGGTAATTCAGCGATGTTTGGCAAGAAACTGGTGACTAGTGCGAGGGGAAACCGACATGACCAACAACTGATCCTCTTCTGTACCCCTTTGTCTGCAATAGCTCCATTCAAAACTCCGACAGTGTTCATCAAGATGAATCTCCAACAATGTCTCAACCATTTCTGAGGGAAACAGGTATGGCTCTTTTTCCATCTGAGATTCAGCAGTAATGAGAAGTTAGTATATCAACTTATCAAGAGAAGCTTCCAGTTTAAGAGTGGACCTAATGTAATGAATGTACTTAGAAATCAACCGTTTTGCCTATTCAATTGGCTGAACTCCTGTTGTGGGAGACAATAGACATTAGAAATTAAATTACTGACTTGATATTGACTAAACTAATAGTGAAGTAGACTATGGATTCACCGCATTCCACTCTATATTTCACTATTCTCTACAAATAACCGTTTCTTCTCTTATGATATTTGGGAAATTCTATAGCTGTTGGCATTACATTAATTGCTGAATGATTGTATCATACCATCTTGTATATTTCTGAGTCAACGAGGAACTCATTCTTATTTGGGATATTTGCATTATGATCCTTTTCACTTAAGGAATATTTGAAATATCCACAAGGGATAGCAAGATTATAGTTTAATTGCAATTGGTGGGAGAAATTAATATAGACATGAACATTCTAGCGCGCGACGATGAACTGAGAAACGAGTTACTGGTTTGAAGTGAGAGCTATAGACATGATAAGCTGGCTGCAAAAGCGAACGCTTTTCAGACAGCGTGGCAATAATTTTCTGGTTTTTCTGCATTATAATTACTTTGCTAGGTGTGCTTAACATGATTCTGTCGGTCATAAACATACAACAGTAATAAGAATGATCTAGTGCATTTAACAACCAGTCCATTTTATCTACTGCCAGTGTCAAAACAAGTTAAGCTAACCCGTACTACAAATACACAAGGAGTGAGAATTTGAATATTCTTGGCTGAACTGCTCCGTTATTTTCACCAGTCTCTGGTTTAGGAGGTTAAGCCTTGTGCTGATTATTTAATTTTGATGTAAATTGATCTTGCTTATGTTCTAAAAGAGCTTACATGCATTTCATTGGTGCTATTTCAAGGGCAAGTCTTCATTTCCTGCTTCTCTCTCACACTGTGGTTAACTTGAAAAACTTGTGTTCATTTCAACGAAATCTGCATGGTTGCATCTTTGAAGATTAATTCCAAATGTTAAAATTCAGGTTATGGTTTTCTCTGGGCAGGGCGGGTGATGAAAAGGATCAGCGGGAGAGAAAGCAGAAGGCGGATTTTGCTCAGCAGTTGATAACATCAACCATCTTCCAAGAGTTATGGTGGTAGAGTTGCTCACTGCTACATGAATCATATACATGTATATTGGAAACTGAAGGTTCCTTCTTGAGACAGCCCTTGATATTGGTTCAACAGGCACCGTATTTAATGGCAGTGCATGGACTTAGGATATCACAGGTGTATTCATGAAGCTCCCAGAGATGGAGGATCTTTATCTCTCTGTAGACTGCTATAAAGAACCATACCTATATATCAGTATATGGAAAGATGAAATTGCATTTTATTTAGGTATCTCCTCTGTTATGCGTCTCTTTTTTAAGTTTTTAAAGATCAAACCATTACTGTCAATCATTTGCATCGAATAGAATAAGGACTATTGGAAGCACTCATGATATGAAACCACAATGCCAAGGGGAAAATGAGATGAGACGCCCTTCCGTGATTCCATTCATCAAGTGGTGAATTAGACTTCCATTTGGAGGCATGAACCTCAAGGATGGAGTCAATCTGACCACATAACAAAAGTTGAATCTGCATTTGAGTACCCAAAGGTTAGACTTAATGATAAAACTTATTTCGTATTACAATTCTTTCACTTGCTGCAAAGCTAGTGATGTAAAAACAGGAGAAGCCTATACTTGTTGACTAAACCTAACATGACACCTGATAAGCATTCAGTCTGTTGACCTCGGACTAGGATGAGATGTGGGCAACTGGGCATATAGGCCCTAGTAAATAGTGAACCCATTTTTCAGTGACAAAGTAACTCTTCTCTTACTCATTTATTTTCTTTAAAAATAAATTATTTTATTACTTTTATATATTTGATTATTTGTTCATTTAAGTTTGATTTATTTTCGTCCTCCTGGAACCAAAAAAAGAAAAAAATTTTAAACTAAACATAATCAATGAATAAATATAGCATGAATAAGATATAAAACAAATTAAAGTTGAAAGAACTAAATTAAAACACAAGTCAGAAGACCAGATCTACGTAAGGTCATCAAAAGTTGAAGTTTCACGATAAGAAAAGATATATAAATCAGCAGTCTCAAATCTCAATAATATGCACATCCGATGATACTTGCTACATCTACTCGTCCATGAGATTGTCATATGATTGAAGATCATAAGAAACAGTGACTTAGGAGAGAACTACTTTCCAGCCTCATTAGATAAATCGGATATTCTCATGCAAGCAGAAGTTCAAGTAACCTCGAGTACTCATCAGACGAAACAATTGGGGGGGGGGGGGGGGAGGTAGAAGAGAGCATGCGAAAGATATTATCCAGCTTGACTAAACATCTCAAAGCAAAAGGATAGACCTACAAAATATAAGAAATTGGATATGGCATCAGTTCGTGTAAAATGGAAAATTAATCGCATAGAACTGTAAATAGGGAGATCTCCACCACTTGAAGAGTCCTGCTTGCTCTTGCACTCACTCAATGATCGATTGAATCACACCAGCTCCAACAGTCTTCCCTCCTTCTCTAATAGCAAACCTCATTCCTTGTTCACAAGCCACAGGCACAATAAGTTCAACAACCATCTTAACACGATCTCCAGGCATAACCATCTTTGATTCTTCATCCTTATCATTCATAATGGCAGTCACTTTCCCAGTCACATCAGTAGTCCTCATGTAGAACTGTGGCCTGTAACCAGCGAAGAATGGTGAGTGCCTCCCTCCCTCTTCCTTCTTCAGGACATAAACAATTGCTTCGAACTTGGTGTGTGGAGTAATGGTGCCTGGCTTAGCCAAAACCATCCCTCTCTGAATATCAATCTTCTGGATACCTCTCAACAACAACCCCACGTTATCCCCAGCCATGGCCTCATCGAGAATTTTCTGGAACATTTCTACGCCAGTCACGGTTGTGCTTCTAGTTTCCCTTACACCGACAATATCCACAGTATCTCCAACCTTAATTGTACCTCTCTCAACTCGGCCTGTGGCCACAGTCCCACGACCCGTGATTGAAAACACATCTTCAATGGCTAGCAAGAAAGGAAGATCAGTTTGACGCTGGGGAATTGGGATGTAGCTATCCACAGAATCCATGAGTTCGTAAATTTTGTCGACCCATTGGCTTTCTCCTCGTTTAATGGTAGGATTCGCCATTAAAGCCTCCAAAGCGAGCAGAGCAGAACCAGAAATAATGGGGACATCATCACCAGGGAATTCATAAGAAGAAAGAAGCTCACGAACCTCCAATTCCACAAGCTGCAAAAGCTCCTCGTCATCAACCTGGTCTTGCTTATTTAGAAACACGACCATATTTGGAACACCCACTTGCTTAGCCAAAAGTATATGCTCCTTAGTCTGCGGCATTGGACCGTCGGCGCCGGAAACAACAAGAATAGCCCCGTCCATCTGCGCAGCACCGGTAATCATGTTCTTGACATAATCGGCGTGGCCAGGACAGTCGACGTGGGCGTAATGGCGATTCTCAGTCTCATACTCGACAGTGGCAGTATTAATGGTGATTCCACGAGCTCGCTCTTCAGGGGCAGCGTCAATTTCGTCGTACTTCTTCGGGGCACTGTTTCCCAAAGCCGCTAAGGCCATGGTGAGAGCAGCAGTGAGAGTGGTCTTGCCGTGGTCGACATGGCCAATGGTGCCGATATTGACATGGGGTTTCTTCCTCTCGAACTTGCCACGAGCAGCTCGGATTGTGAAGGAGCGGTGGCGGGTGGTGGCTGAGGAGTGGAGGAGGGAGAAAGGTGGAGGATTGTGGAGGGATTAATGAAGGAAGAGGAGAGATGGGATGAGGGGGATGTGAGTTTGTGGGGGTTTAGAGAGAGGGAGGGAGAGGAAGAGGAAGAAGGAGAGGGAGAGGGATGAAGGAATATGAGCTTGGAGGAAGCAGAAGCTGTAGCTGAAGAAATTGCCATTAGAGAATCCGTGAGAGAGAAGAGAGTGGTGTGAGGGTATAGAGCAGAAGAACTGGAGAAGATAGGGGAAGAGGATGACGATTTCAGGATTTTGTTATCTGTGGCAGAATAAAAGAGGACCTCACATCGGCTCTATCCACTTCTGCCTCATTTCGGGTCTGGGGAGGGACTCTCCTTGCGAACAAACCTCGCATTGTGGAGCATGGAATTTTGGGGCGAATTTATTTACTTAATGACGTGTCGCACTCACAGAACACAAAATGTCCTTGGAAAAACACAATATATCCACCTACACCTGACAAGCAAATTTTCATGCTTTGGAAAATTACCTTTTTTGATTTAATATTATTTTTTAAGTCCAAAGTAGCTCTTTTTTATATTTTATATTTTCCATTATTTTGATAATAATTTTTTCATTTCTTTTAATTATGGCACAAATATTTATGTCTTCATTTATTTATATCTCCCTATTTAAATACTTGAGGCTGAAATATTTCCTTTATTATAGATGTTCAATGACTTGTATCATTTTCACTTAAGAAATTTAGGTTAAAGAATACGAGTCCTAGTCATTGATCTTGACACGAACTCAATTGACATCCCCACACTGGGGAGCCTTGTTGGAAGTCTAATCTACCCTTCAAAATCCCACACAAAATTTCTCATAACAATAATAATAAGCCAGGGCCCTTGTCACAACCATTCAGCACATGAGCATTTAGTTGAAGATCAAACCAAAGGAAGCGAACGAAGTGTCCTCAAATTTGGCCTACATATGGAACAACTAAGGACCTCCACTGAATTTTCCCAAAATTAACGGGTTGTCTGTACTGTGGAGAAAGAATTGTCAGTGAGCATACGTACAAGTGTATACTTCCTAATTGAATGTCTATAGTCAGTATCAAAGTATATAACAGGGGGCGAGCTCTTGATGACTCAATTTCAAGGGTGATTCCTCCTCGTGGCCTTATGCTTCTTATCAGATCCTCCGGGCTGTGCAGAAAGTTCGATATTTTCTCAACGAAATCTCAGAAGAAATGACTTCCTGTATGACTTTGCTGCTTTGTCTTTTAACATGATGCCAACAATACCCATGCCAGCAGAATTACCATTAGTCATACCCCCTTTCAATCATTGATGATGAACCTAAAATATTGACAATAATTAAGTAACCCGAGATTTCCAAATATGACACACAAGATTCTGAGCTCAGAATTTTTCTGATGAGAGCTTTCTTGATGAGGATGAGACCAGAAACCTCATAAACGCGCATTAAGCAGTGGAAGAGGCCTCAAGTCTGTCTGCATCTGCACTGTCAGGTAACTCCAGGCTATATGCATTTAAAATCAGCTGCCGCACCTCAGAAGGGAGCTTCTTCAGAAAATCTGAGACGGCTAATTCATGTTTCTTCTCTAGTTTTTTTAAGTCTTCTTGCTGTGTCACCAACAATTTTTTTAGTTCTGAGGCAATTAAGTTGACATTTTCTAATTCAGAATCTCCTAATATGCTAGATTTTGCTTCTGGAGGAGATTCTCCTTCCGTTACTTTTGAATCCTTGGATGCTATCCTTCTCTCAATGGAATGAAAATCAGCAATCCCACTAGGTTTCTTTACTGAACTCCTATCGCCATCATGAACACAGTTCTTAGCCTGCTGATGAACTGAGACAGCATCATTTCCAGTCAAGTTACTTTCCTCGGTGCCCACATCCACTTTACAGGACAGGTTAGAAGCATCGGCCCTTAAAAAAGAGTTTTTGACTGCTCCCTTGGGTGAGTCCGACCAGAACTTACGGCCAGAGGGTAATATATCCAGTGCAAGACTATCAGTAAAGTTGGTAGAGGCAAATCCGCTTGAAACTGCCGGCCCTTTGCCAGATCCATGGATGGGACTTTCACTGGGATTCCAAACTGGAAAGTGGTTTTGAATTTCTGACTCAATCATCTCAGCAATAGTTGTGACATCTTGATCAGAGAGCTCAAGCTCTTCAACCATTTCGCCAGCAACCCCAACTGCAGTGTCTGCCTCAATATTAAAAGGAAAGTGGATATTGCAAATACGACCTAATCCCACATAAACAGCAGCTATTTTAGATCCTCCAAAGGGGGAAAAAAATAATAATAGACAGTTAGATCTGACATTTGTGTGTATGTGTGAAAGAAAACCTGACAAGTCTACTAGTCTCAGTTTCAGAAATATTGTATTGACATCTTTCCGTTGACCTTCCACTCTAAATTCCCTGCTTGTCTCTGCAGAAATATCCTCAGTGAGTGCTTATGCCAATGGCATGAGGGCCACAACTATGTCCTACATTTGATAAATCAAATTGTAAAAGAGAATCGAGCAGTAGGAAATTTAGATGCCAAGAATGTTTACCAGCATGGTGAGTTTTAGGCCATAAAAAACGACTTATACCCTCAGTATCTTCGTCTAAATGAAGAAAGGAATCCATCAAGAGATCCTTAGCCGGTAATCGTTCAGATACTTGGGCGATACACTTCCCTATAAATGCTTTCACCCTAGGATCTGTCACTTTTGCCAAAGATGCCGGCTTTACTCCCTACCATGAAGAGCACAACACAAATCATGACGATATATGAACCATAAATCCACCAGAATCACCACTTTTGAAGACTTCTCATCGAAGTAATTATTTTATACTGAGTATACCATATTAGCAAAACCAAGTCAGATATAAATGCTTCAGAAAATCTGAATAGCTTATCCTTAACGAAAAGCAGCATGGCAACAAAAGGAACTATAATTAAAGCAACTGGATTGTACCTTGGATGGTACAAAAAGATTCAAATCATGGAAATGCCACTTTTTTTTGCTTCTTAACTAGAGGAGAGTGATGATTGATGATAAATGAAGTTGAGACAGGAATTGCATTGCATGCTTGGTGTTGAAAGGAATTGGAAAATAACACACACTCTCAAAATAAACTGAAACCGAGATGTTAGTGTCCCACGACATGAGATATAGTCCAGAGATTGTGAAGCACTTACAGATGTCACCTTTTTGTATATTTGAGCGGCATTTGCACATTCAACATATGGGTACTCAAAGGTTACCAATTCTAGCAAGCACATGCCAAAAGCATAAATGTCAACAAGCTCATTGTATTCCTCTTCATAGAGCTCTGGGGCCATAAACTCTGGAGTACCTGATTTCGCAATGTGAATTACATATGCCTCGAGTTAAAATGATCCCACAGTAGTTAACAATCCAAAACACACACACACACACAAACGTCTCACTTAACAAATGCTACCTATGACACTATGAGCTGAATTGGCTTGTTGAAGAATGGCTGCCAGTCCCAAGTCACCAATTTTCACCTCACCTTGATTTCCATTGACAAAGATGTTGTCACACTTAAGATCTCGATGAATAATTGGTGGATCATGACTGTGAAGATAGAAAAGCCCCTCCAAAATCTGCCTAGACCATTTCTTTAAGGCTTTCAAGTCAACACGCTTGTGTTTCTTCCTGTATCTGCGTGAAGAAAATTGAACTTCGACACAAAAGCCCAATAAGACATGCAAAGGGAAGGGAATGGTTAGGACCATGATGAACCCAACTCACTGGCGTAATGTTCCAGAAGTAAATATTTCAGTGATGAAGTTGATGTTGCCATGCTCAGGATCAACCCATGAATTATAAAATGTGATGATATTTTTATGCTTTAAAGTCTTCAGCAGATGAACTTCTAAACAGGCGTTCCAAATCTTCAGAATTATGCATTCGTTCATCCACTTTAACTTGATTCCATGCAACCTCAATTCCTTCCAACTCATCGAAAGCTCGATATCTTTCGTCGTTAAAATAAACAAGCCATCTCCTAAGGAAAAGAAAAAACAAAAAGAACAAAAAAAAAACCCTCCCTGAAGAGTTTCCTCAAAAATAACATACGTAGTTGCTTTCACCCAGAACATATTAATATAAACTGTCAAAGGAGGGGGGAAAAAAATAGTGAAAGGATACACTTCCTTGAAAGCTCCCTTCCCTAAAACTTCCTTGTACTGCAAGAATCAGACATCCAAAGTGAGAAATGAGCAAAACAGACCCGTTAAGGGACAATATTGATCAAAACAAGCCGCATTTTTGTGGGAGCGCTACATAATAGATTATAAAACTATGCAATAACAAACAAAACAATTAGCTAAATCAGATTGAACCAGGCTGCAAAATTATCACATTTCATACGTGGTTGAAACACAACCAGATTAAAGAGGAGATAACGGGACAACTTCAAATAATACTGAAGCCAAATAGAAAAACAGAGTTCAAGTCCACAAAACAGAGGAAGCTGACCCGAACATAACGACCGGTGGGATCAACCTCTACAAATTCAGAGTCAGAGCTATCAAAGTCTTGTTGGGACGAATCCTGCAGCATTGCCGGAACAAAGTCCTGAAGGCGGCTGCAACTGAGAATGAGGACAGAATTAAAAAAGTTAGAACCGAAAATGATGAGAAGGTGGAAGAAGCAAGTGGATACGGGCATTGTGTGGGGATATACCAAAAGCGATTGAGAAAGCAGAAACGTGTGAACTGTGACGAAAGAAGAGTGAACGTGATTATGATCATATAAATAAATAAATAATTATGCGGGAAGGGAAGAGAAGTTTTGGTGAGAAACAAGTGGATGGAAGCCGCCTCTGAGTCATTGAATTTCCTCTTTTGAGTTCAATTCATCAGTCAAAACGGACGAAGCGTTTGGACTTTAGAAGATCTTCAGGTAAGTAACAGTGAGTGTGTCTGTGAGTTTCCTTCTTTTTCTACAGCTAAGAAAGAAACGCTCTTCTTTCTTGACGTTTCCTGCCTGATTCTTTGGCTGTTGTTAAAAGAAGAACGAAATTTAAGGTTAAAAAAAGCCGCATCCATATTCTGCCATTCATTCGTGAGCATATACACGCCCTTTCTCCAAGCAAGTGTTACGTTCTCGGCTAAGAGGAAGAGGGGAAGGTCACATTGAGTTAACGACTTGGCCACTGCCATCGGAAAGGCGAGCTCACATTCTTTGCTTTTATTGGTCAAGGGGGAAGGTCATTTATATCACGTATAATTAGCTGCCGTTAATTAACTAATTATTGAAATTTAGGTTCGTTCTTAAATTATTATGACATTTTCCTATCTATCTAATCTAGTCCTAAACCCCTTCATTTCTAAATATAAGGGCGTTTTAAATAATTTATTATAGAATAAGAAAGAAGAAGTTAAGATAGAATTTAACCCTTAGAGGTAAAACTGTTTCAATAAATAGAGATATTATTAAAAAAGAAACAATTAATATAGGAGATAAGAAAGAACTCAATCTTATATTTTTCATTAGCAAAAAAAAAAAAAAATCTTATATTTGTGATCAAGTCAAGACCGTTTAATATATTTAAGACTACAAGTAGTATATACTATGTAAGAATTTTCAGTGACATAAAATACATTAACTTGAATCCTTAATATAAGAACTAGTTAGTTAATTTGAAAATATTAAAGAAGTAAGTTAAGTTAGCTATTTGTAGTAAATAGATGTTATCTTTCCTGAAATACTTTTGTTAATTATGTGTGTTTGAATTATCTATTGATAGTAATTCCTTGACAAATACAACTACTATAAGAATTATTTTGAAGGCAAAATAAATAAATATTATAAACAAAGTGAATTGAAGTTTTAGATTTTGAACTAAATTGAAAATCAAACTAGCTCTTATATTAAAAATTAAAAGTAGTAGTATGTAAGAATTTAGACGATGCTTTTAATTTTCTATTCTATTAATTTTATTATTTTAATGATAATGATAATAATGTCGTAGAAATGGACAGAGTTAGATAATCTCTGACTGCGGAGGGATGATTAGATTAATTGGGGTTTTATTATTTGTTATCCACTGATCGTCTTAACTAGAAAGTTCGCAGTGGATTCTAAACAAGATTGCGTCATTAAACATGTTCATTATCAAAGTCAACAAATGCGCGTGGGGATTTCGCCTCACCTTTTGATCAACGCAAACAAGAAGCGATTACTTTTATTTTAAAAAAGGAAAAATATGCGTGTAAGAACGATCAACTGAGCAAAATAAATCAACCCTAGATAATGTTAAAAATTAACACTAATTACAATCACCATTCCGTGAACTTAGCAACATGTTTGCATCCTTATCAGTCATTGATCTGACACACACGTATATGTATAATCACAGATATAAAAATAAAATATTTTATATGTGAGTAATAAAATTAACTCTTTTGAATTCTTATGTTACTTAACATAAATATAACTCACTACGTTTCAAACCAAATTTAGAAATTCGATAATTTAAAAAGAAATTCTTGACGGAGGAAAAATGTGCGGGGTGCGTGGCGGTATAACGTGTCAACTTTTTTCTTTCTTCTAGGCACAGGCCTATTATCAAAACTAATTATATTTAAGACACTATCAAAAACTAAATACTCTTCTGGTCCTTAATATAGGGTCCAATTTTTGAGTTAGTTTTGGTCCTAAATATAAGACCAATTTCTCATATTTATTAATTTTCTCTAAATTACCCCTATGGATACTTTCTCAACTATAATTAAGTAGAAGAGGAAGAGGGGGTATTAAGAAAGATGATTATGGTGTTTTAGGAAAAATGTGTCACTTTTCTTATAATTAACCAACTTACCTAACTTTCTTAATCTAATCAAATTAGTTAAATGGATCTTATATTAAGGATCGGAGGAGTATATACATATCTTTCAATAGAGATTTATTAATTATGTTTTGTCATGTTATAATAGACTAGGTCATTGTACTAGACTTAATTCCTAACAACTTCATATTTCACTTTAAAACTCTGGTAAGGCCCATTAAGTGCGTCACCACTGAGCCCATTACAAGTGGCCTTTTATGGTCAAATGGTTGGCTTACTGCAGCCCACTTTAGCCCAAAGCGTTCTTCAGTCTAGATCTGTAGGCTTTTCCTGGGGTTTGGTATTTGTACATAATTTCCCTCAAAATTCACCCATATTTGAAAGTATAATTATCAAAATATGCTTTTGAAGAGCCTTTAAAAGGGCTAGTGACAGCCTGACAGGAGAATGCTGCCGATTATAGGGACCAGTCCTATTGCTAATTTTCACAAATTAGTTCTAATTATCTGACCCTCTGTATCTCAAAATAAATTAAAAAGTGGGTAAAAGCAAATCTAAAATCAAAATGCTACGATAAGAGGCGGATCTGGGTTTTTCTCCCCAGATTGGTCTAAGTTTGCTCTCCTTCTTGAATTGGGTAAAGTGGTTAGGTTTGAAGCAGTTAAACCGTCAATTAACCTCTTTAGCTGGTGAACACTTCTTACTCATTATTAATTTTCCTCCCTTATTTACTTGTTTTAATTTAATTTTTCATTTTATCCTTGAATATATATCCTGTATCAAATTTCAAGGTATAATTTAAAATAATGCATTATTAAATAAATGATAAAAATAAAAAATCTTAAATAATATTAATTCCTGTTTTTAATATAAAAGCCAGATAACTATTATATAGATATTAAAAAATTTATTTAAGTTTCTCATTTGTAACAAATGTGTGTTGGTTTTTCTAAATTATACTTCTAGTTATTATTTTTTATGTACATTAAAACTATCTCTCAGTGAAACCCTTTATAATAAAAAAGAAACATCTCAGGAAAAAAATTATAAAATGATAACAATAAATTAAAATTTTATATGTAAGATTAAATCTAACTCGCGGTTGACTGCTATATTAAAAGGAGGTTATAAATATTTTCCTTTCTTCTATGTTTTATCCCATGAGCAGATAACAGCGATAGAAGAAATACATAAACCCACGTTACTTTTTGCTCGAATACCATTAAATAGGAAGCCATCTGTAATCCACACAGTGCATTATTTATTTATAACTTCTGAACTTTTTTAGACTCTAGGGTCATCTTTACTGATAATAAAAAATAATTACTTTCGTAATGCTAAAAGCAGAAGATACAATTTTTTTAATTAGGGTTTCTCCCTACAAAAAATATTTAAATTGAACTGCCTACCCACTCTATAATTTTGAGATTCTTATGTATATATATTTAAGCGCAATAAGTCAATAAATGAAAAATGTGCACTTCTATAGTTTCCATTAATCTACTGTAGGTAAAAAATATTAAAAAATGTAATAACTAGATTTCTCCTATAGTGAAATTGAAAAAAAAAACAAGAAGAAAAGAAACGGCAGAGGGTTAAAGGAGACGGAAACAGAGGGAGTCGTGTGTTTGGAAGCAGAGCAGGACCAGATCTCTGCAACTACCACGATACATTACTCTGACCTCCCCCTGCATCATTAGATTCCTCCTTCTATGACTTCTCATAACTCAACAGTCCCTTTTCCTAATTTTTTTTTCCCTTCTCAATTACTCACATCATATTCACAGACTTGTATTCAAAACAGGACAGGACGCATCATTATCAAAACCATTGCCATCTGAACTACAATCAACCTCAGACAAACAACGACCACTCTTGAAATTGATTGACTCTGTGATTATTGAACCTGAAGATACAGCAGATGAGATATGCTCGTGTCTTTGTCTCCTGGCTTCTTTACCAGCCACTCTCACACTGTCTTCCTATTCCTGGCTTCCTGCTATCTTTTTGACAGATAACCTCACTCTTCTTTCTTTCAAGTGCAGCAACAGCTAGCTCACGAGGTTATATGACTTTGACTCGCTTATTAATCTTAGGCGGAGAGAAATACTAGTACAGTACTATATTTGTTTACGCAAAATAAAATATTAATTTTTGATATACAGTAATCGTAAGCATAAGAAGAGAGTCATCACCCACCCTGACCTTGCGTCGGAAAAGCCAACCCATACAACAAATCCCTATTTGTTTTGTTTTGACGGGTGATTTTTGGGCTTATCATATCCCACTGTTATGCGCTGTCACGGCGGATGGCTCAGGTTGTAAAAATCCAGACACCAAATCTGGTGAAAGCTGCCTTCTATGCTTCTAAATACTCCTGGAACTATTTAAATCTTGATTATACCTTCTCATCAAAACCACCTTGGATTCCCCCAAAAACAACTCTAAAGCTGATTTCTGCCCTTCAGAAAACGAAATAAAATGAAATAAAATAAGATTGAGGTGACAGATAAGAGAAAATAGACAGAGGCGCAGCAGAATATAAAAAGGCTTCTTCTTCACTCACTCTCACTAGGTGCCAGTCCATTTGCCAGTTTGGACTCCCTTTTTAAAAAAATCCCTTGAATGCTGCCAATCACACCAAGCAGCATCTAAGCTTTCATCCTGCCTCTCCCCTCTGAGCCTGTGACTCTGACCTCATCTCTCTCCCTCTCTCTCTCTCTCTCTCATGTTACAATTTGCCGCCGATCCTCTACTTCTGCTTCATCTTCCTGCTGTAACCAAGACCTGGGCTTGACCACCCAGAAAGGGCGGCATCATCAAGAGCTATGCAAGACTCAATTGGTATTCCTGCTTGTTTTTCTTCTGCAGAGAATGATCACGTGGCTGTGACTCGCTCGGGCCAGAGCGTTTTCGTGTCTGTGTACAGAACAAAAATTGCTGATCAATGCCGCTTGATCACCATTACTTGGTGTAAAAACTTGCTGCTTCATGGCCTGTCAGTATCGGTGGAAGGTCTGGAAGGAGAAACACAGTACGCCTGCAAGGTCGAGCTTAAGCCATGGTACTTTTGGAGGAAACACGGTTCCAAACGATTCGTGGTAGATGGGAAACCTGTTGATGTCTTCTGGGACCTTAAAGCTGCCAAATTTAACGGGGAGACAGAACCAACCTCGGAGTTCTATGTTGCAGTGGTCTGCGATGGAGAGGTTGTTCTGCTCCTCGGCGATCTGAAGAATGATGCCTACAAAAGGACGGGATGTAGGCCATCTCTTATTGATCCCATTTTGGTTTCAAGGAAAGAGCATATTTTCGGGAAGAAGAAGTTCTCAACCAGAGCTAAGTTCCACGAGAAAGGTAGATGCCATGAGATCTCTATTGAGTGCAAGAACAGGGGAAGTGGATCGAGAAATTGCAACAAAGCACATGGGGTTGAACCAGAGATGGAGATAAGGATCGATGGCCATTTGGCCATTCACGTAAAGCATTTACAGTGGAAATTTAGAGGCAACGAGTCAATTCATCTCAACAAAATGAGAGTGGAGGTATATTGGGATGTGCATGATTGGCTCTTTAGTCCTGGTTTAAAGCATGCTTTATTCATTTTCAAGCCAGTTTTCTCATCTACATCTCAATCGTCCCTATCATCTTCATCCCCTCCAGTATCATCTTCATCATCGACTCCAGCATCAACTCACACTGTTTGTTCAGGATCGGTGGAGGGACTAACAACTCTGGGTGGGTCATCAGAATTTTGTTTGTTTCTCTATGCTTGGAAGGTTGAATGAAAGAAATGAACCAGATTAGCGTGATGCTGCATCACCATCAATGCCAGCAAAATAAGGTTGGAAAGGACTTGGGTCTCCAAGTTGTGGTACAGCATGGGCGCAGATTGGGTCGAGAGGGTATTGGAGGGGGAAAGTCAGTGGGGGCCAAAACAGAGGATTTGAGAGTTAGTAACAGCTGGGGTCAAACAAGAGTGCACAAATCGACAAGACACATAATATGGCACACATGCCCAATAATTCTCCGTCTAGAGGCATCTGCGTGACTACCATCTGGAAATTATGTTTCCTCTTTCTTGATCTGATCTTGAGAACCGAGCTGTGCTTCTTTCAAAAATCTATCGACCAAAGGAGTATTCTTTAGTTTTTATATACAGAAACTACAGCAAAATAGACTGCTTAACCGAGTGTCTCTGTTTGCCCATAAAAATGCGTTTTCCCGGCAAGAAGGTGGGGGTGTTTGGTGATGATAGAAAGTTAGAAGCAGTGTGTAAGAATAAGAATCCATTTTTGTGCATATCATATATGGTTCTCCCTCAATTAGGTAGATTATCATGGTCAATGCTTAGCTGCCTGATTGCAGGCATTACAATATAGTAAACTGTTAGGTGTGGGTTTTTTTTTTCCCCTTTACTTTAAAAAAGAATTCATGTGAAAGAGTATTTTTCTCTTCTTTAATTCTTGGAAGTCGCTCACACCATGTCAAAAGAGGCGGTTCCTTTACTTGTCCCCCGGGGGATTCAAAAACCAATTAAGAAATTATCACATAAAAGATAAAAATTAGATTTTATACTAAGCATAGAAGATAATCCAATATTAACAAGTTTTCTTTTCCGCATGGGTCAAAAGATAGGAGTAAGTGAGGAACCAAGTTCGTTTTTAAAGGAGCAGTTAAGGGGAAATGGACCCAAGCAGGTTATTCTTTCACGTCAACATCAACACCAATAACTACTTGGTTGTGGTGAAATATTGAGAGGAACAACGTTGATTTACCCAAGAAAAATCTCTGGTAGGTCCATACTTCACGGCTCTGCACAAAAAGCATCCAAGTAGTCAAAATGATGAGGGCGTTTAACCTTTTCATGCGCACTCACACTAATGAGTGGTAATGTTTGTTCAATTTTTTTCGTTGTTAGGCTGCATTTACAAACTAATAAGCATCAGGAAAATTGGATATCTCCATCTGTTCATTTTGAACCAAAACCAAACCACTTGAATAAGAAGAACTTGTTCTTTTCGCCGGAGGGATCCTTTTCTGGTTGACCAGGTGGGGGAACAGGAATTTGCGAAAGAGGCGATGCATCTTTTGCTGCAAGGAATGTTAACAGATTTATACAAAGAGAAAAGTAGACTAACAGAGTAATAATAATAACCAGGAGCACTGAGTTAATCAACTATGAGTAAAAATAAAACGACATACAACCTGAATTTAGTGAATCCTTGTTAATTTTAGCACTCTCTGTATCGGCAGAATTCTTATTTGGACTTTTCATGACGACTTCACAGTCAGATGTAGAGGTTGACTTCCGCTGCCGGGTTACATGTTCCATGTTTCTTTCACTGCTCTCGTCCCCTACAATTTCCAAGCTCAAGGTAAAAACTGAAAAAGCCAAGAAAAGACTGTGACAAAAAAAAAAAAAAAACCATTGAAGCTTGGAACAACAGAAAATTATCACCTCAGAGTTTGTGATCGATATCCTTACAAATTGAAATTTCAAATCTATGCTAATGGAAAGGTCCCGTGAGATTAAATATTTGTAACTGAAAAGACAGGAAATGGTGAATTGCTGCTTCATTGGCTTACGCATCGGCAGTTTGAACAATTGGTGCTCAAACCTCGAGTCAAGACATGTCTAAAGCAGCTATAACTAGTTAGAAGCAAAAAGAACCTTGTTTAGAATTTAAACCAAACAAGGCTTCCTTGAAAGAACTAGACCCTACTAGAACTGATCGTGTACTTGACAATATGGAAAGAGCTCCAGTTTCTAATTAATTCTTTCTGCTGAAAGCACCGTTCCGTCTTTCTGTGACCTTTATTTAAATGTTGATCATGAATTACGTTAAAATCAACTCACAATTATGTGTAGAACAGTACTTGGGTACCATAGATACACTATTTTTACAATTAAAAGCTCAGATTAAATTCATACTTGTGGACAGTGTAAGGATTCAATCTGAGTCCTTAATTTACAAACACTACATGGCACTCAAGAATTTTTCTTCTCACCTAATTGTTCAGATCACTAAAATTTTAAGGTTAGATGCAGAAGTATATGCCCAGTCAAAGATGCCAAAATGACCGACTAGTTTCAGACTCCAATGTCGCTGCATTTTCCTATTTGGATAATCGACCAATGGAATTTATGCAAAGGTCTTTCACGGGTACTCACTTTCATCGGGATCCTTCCCATAGTTGAGCTGCAAAGCTTCGACGAAGGAAGTGGCATTTTGTTCTTGCATTACTGTTAGGGAATCAAAACAAAATGATATATCAAGCTTGGTAATCAACGAAAGCATCTCAATTTTATTGCGGAGAAGATGAACCTCACATTGATGAAATAGAGTATATCTGTAGTTCGGTGCTGAGCCAGCCAATAGCAATTGGACTGCTTCTGAGTCTCTTGTCATAGAAAATAAAGCATATTCCTTCAGATTCTGAGTGTCCAGCAAAATACCAGCAAGCTGTAAAATACAAAAGCATACAAAAATTCGAGTCACACAGAGCAGTCCTGTCCATCTTTTTTCCTCCCCATAAGCATTCCTTGAAATGAAAAACATATATGTGCGAAGCACTAAACTTTGTCAAGCGATGGGCACTATCATTGCAACTTACCAAAAGCTTCCTCAGCACTGGGTTTTGAAGCAGATCATAGGCATCTTCACAGTAATTATCGGTAAGAATGGTGCACTGGGATCCAGCCTATCCAAACAGAGGAAGGCAGAAAGCCAATTTTAAAAATCTAGCCCCATGCCTCGTCCCACATTTCATTTGTAACTATATAAACCATCAATATTTGGTAGGAACAAACCTCGCCAGTAGTGCTTAGTATATCTTGTCCAACCACGAGGATGCTATGTTGTCCATTCCTCCTAAGGCTTTCAATGTCCACCTGCAAACAATCTTGAGACCAAATCAACAAACTATACAAAAATCACCCAGAACACCGGTTATACACTGTACACCAAGACAACTTCTTGATGAGTGATCACAAGACATGCGAGATTAAATTCACACGTAAGGAGTTGTCTGTTTCTGCAATGAGGACCCGTGGACCAATCAAATAATGGTTATTGAACATCTAATGGTGACCAGGACGTTCATTATCAGACAATGCCAACATCAGAAGATACAACTAAGCCAGATATATGCGTGTGAAATTCCCGATCAACAAGGTTTGAAGAATCACCTCGTCAGCAAAAAGCAGTGAGGCAGGATCGAGGCCAGCGTGGTGAAAGAGCCAAGCAGCCTGCCTCAGATTCCACATGGCGCGTCGCTCCACATTCATCAAAGGCACCACAACATCCTCCAGTCCATCACCACTCTCCCTCTGTCTATAACACAAGAGCCATGCATGACAAAGAGCGGCTACCATTGATGTTATGCCTGCAGTACAGAAATGGGATCACTCACCACCATTCTCGCATTGAGTTACACGCAAAATTTGTGATATCTATCAATTAGAAGGAAAAGAAAATAATAGGGAAATAATGTCGATTGGAGTAAAATGGAGTCTTAACTGTTGGAAGGCCCAGAAAGTACAATTTTGGCCCTTCGATGGAGGTCTTCGTTCAAGATATTCTGAATCAAAATCCTCTGTTCTCGGAGAAACCGATTAAGATCGTGAATCTGAGCTGCGTCTCCTTGTTTGGACCACCCATTGGCCACAGGCCTGGCAGCATTTTTCTCAAGCAAACATGTGGAAGACGATACCGATCTCCGGTGAGCGGACTCGACACGATTCCTGGGCGGTGACAGAGGCAAAGAGCTGAAATTGAATCGGCGGTAGGCAGGCCCGGCAACATCGTGTGAGGAAGAGAGCGATTGGACGTCTGGAGATGGATTAATAGTAGTGAAGGTACGGCGGGAATGGGGAGGCAAAGAATAATGGGATTGTAATCGGGATTTGCGGGGAAGGGAGGGGCGAGGAGGGAGAGTAGAGAGAGAAGGATCGGGAAGGGGATGATCGGAAACGAAGAACAAATGGTGGGGAGGAGTAGAAGAAGAAGAGCAAGGGGAGCGTGGAGGCGAAGAGGGAAGGAAGGTGTAGGATTTGCTGCGGCTGTGTATGACTGATTTTGAGAGTACCTCACTCCTCAAGCTTTCTCCGAATCCTCTGTTTCTGTTTCACACAACCAACCGTTGACTATAATTTCCTTTATCACCCACATAACCGCTACCAATCGTAAGTCAACCCAGCAAATTAAACTTCATGAAATCCTTCAAAACTCACAACCCCATCACTCCTAATTGTTACGCCGTCAGCCGATCCTATCCTACATTATCATCATCCATTATTTCCCGCTTTTTTTGGGCCAGTTGCAACCATTACTTCCTAATTATGCAGACTTACCAATATTATACAAGTTCTGCGTCACAATTCCAACTATGTGTGTCTACATATACATGTCATTGTCATTTGGAGATCATGTCTACAAAATAATACATCCATCCACTTGATCAATATTATATTATCCCTGTTCTAATTATAAGAGCCAGTTGACTAATTTGAAGAGATTAAAAAAGTAAGTTGAGTTAGTTATTTGTAGGTATTGTCTTTCCTAAAATATCATTGCTAATCAAGTGTATTGACTAGAACTATCATTGTTAGAAGGGCTATTTTAAAAAAATGTATAAATATGAGAGACAAAATAGATTGGGATCTTATATTTAGGACCAAAATAAAAGTCAAACAGAATCTTATACTAAGGATCGGACGTAGTATTAAAATAATGTAAGTTGACTTTAAAGCATAAAGTTATGTTTTTTATGACAAAACATACGAACGTTATTTTTAAAGTATAGAGTTCAATAATATTTTTTTCTCGTATCAATTATTGATGTAATCAATTGGATCGGTGTGCAAATCGTGGGAGAGGCAGGAGCGAGTTCACTTCATCTTCCAATATAGAATTACTTTTGACTTTTGAATGATAGGGACGTGCATGCAACAATAGGGAACCAGTTTTTAGGAAGAACATAATAGTTGAGGGGACGTAGGAATGAACGGTAGATTATGTCTAAATTATACCTTCGGGCGGACCTTGAAAGAGGGTCTCTTTGCAGAGACGGAAGCGGTGATGAGGATGCTTGCTGTGTGGTGGCGAATCTGGGACATCCGAAATGGCGTGCCGGCGAGTCGCAGCGTGCGGGAGACTTCGCCACAACCCCACGGGCCTCCTCCAACCATTCTTGCGTCAACCTGGCACTGTTACTTCTAGTGCTGTCGTCAAAACCTATGCTTGGTTGTCGACCACCTGTGAGATCGTAGGTTTTGTTATCTTTGTTAGCTTTTCCGAAAAACATGTCATTTATGAAATCGGTGAGATCTAGCGCAGGTTCTGAAGTCCTCCGCCGCGTTTCTACCATCTTTTTCGGTGTTTCAGACCCTTTGCTTCTTCTGCTCAATCTGATGTTCCCTCCAAAGATATATACGGACTCGCTAACTAAGTCTCTCGATTTAGCTCGCTCATCCTGAGAGAAGGAGGTGCCGTGTGTTTTAAGCTTTAACTGTGAAGCCAAAAACTTCGTGGAATATACTATGTGCATAGAAAACATCACTTTTGGATCAAGCTTCTTGGGATCATATGATGCCCGGCGTTATGCTCTCGATTCATGTCTTGTTCTTGGGTTGCTTTATTATTTTATATCTTTCTTGATTCCTATGTATCATAGATGAGCTAGTGAAGGAAAAACTTCCTACACTATTTACTCTTAAAACTTGAAGGTACTCCTTCGATTCGGGGTCTTTTTTCTTTTTTCTGCCAACATTATATCCAACTTCGAGTCCTTGATGCTCAGATCTGAGTTCCATAATGTGTATACCATACCGGTCCTCAGATCCAATAATTCAACACTAATGTTTATGTTCTTCGCGGAATGAAACCACATGGACTAACAATTTATTTCACTACTGTCAACGAAACATTTGATCCAATAAGCAAACGCCTCTCACCCTCTTCTAACTAAATTAAACCCATGGAAGAAGAGAAAAATTCATCAGAACTTGACGTATAGTAGTAAAAAGCAAATGGAAGTAAAAGAAGAGAACTCTTATCACCAGGCAAAAAAAAGAAGAAGAAGAAGAGGAGAACTCTCCTGCTCGTATCAACGAACGAGTAGCTAAGAAAGTGGACGTCAGATTGTGTTGCATACATGGGGGTATATTATTTCACATTCAGCAGCGACAAAAACTTGGAAGACGAGTAGTGTACGGCAGACAGAAGAGAGGGGGTAGATGACGAGGTAGTAATGTGATGTTCTGGCAATATAATAATAATGGTTGAATTTTATGAAAGGGGAACAACTTGGAGCACAAATTGTTGAGGAGGCCAACCAAGTTGTGATTTGTGGGCGCAAACGGCTAAATTTAAAATTGGTTCAGCAACTGCGAGACTTCCCACCATGTGTTGTTGGGTTGGCTTTTCCTGAACCGGATAGCTATGCCATTTCTCCCCCTCCCCATTGGTTTGTTCCTTTGCCCTTTCTAAGGCATGTGGGGACAACAGAACTACTTATTACGTGAGAAGAGACGAACTGTACGGAGTCATTCGGATGCTCCATAATTTAAGTAGACCTCAGAGCTTGGGTTACTTTGGCGCGTTTTGCGGATCCATATAATAACATGACCAATCCAATTCATTAATTCAGTAAAATTAATAGACCCATTTGATTCGATTGGACTATATTTTTTTTAAAAATTATAATTGTCAATAAATTAAATTTTAATTTCTATTATTTTTTCTCGGTAATTTGATTAGGTTTGCACGGAGTGAAATTGGAGTAAACCAATCAACCTAATTAATTCGAGGATAATAAAAATCAAACTTAATCTTATTTATAGGAGAGTTTCTTTTTACATATATTTCTTTCGAGTTGATCTCACTCTGTTCGATTCAATCTATAATAGAGTTTGGACAAACTCAATTGGAACCAAGCAGAAGAGAGAAGACAAGAAGGCAATAAATAAAACTCAGCAAAGCCCCAAATTCAGATACACCCGTCAGAATTCTACTCAAACAACTTTTTTGTTTTTTTTTCATTTCTGGGTAAAAAAATTACAAGAGAATTCTCCGCTAATAAAGTAATAGCACAGTCAGGTGGTGCTAATTTCGGTAACGTCCCTAGCACATGCTCAAAGGCCACTTTTACTTTGCTTCCCGTCCACATCCCTTTTGTTTAAGATCAATAAAAGTTGGAGCCTTTGACTTCCATGCTTGGTTTTATGTGGAGTCTGCAACTTTGATTGATTATTTAATAGAGGGTTGAGGAACTTGTATAAAAGGAGAAGAACCCTATCTCCCCACCATTCCCAATTCGCTTTTGCCTGTATCACTCGGACTCCTCCTTCTCTTAACTTTTCTCCAGAAACTTGGAAGCAAATATGGCAGCACGTGGACTTGTGGTAGCGTCGCTTCTTCTTTGCTTTTTATCAGGTTCCTGTTATGGCAACCGCCTTTTCTCTGCCCTGAAACAGACCCTTGACGTCACTGCTTCACCCACACAGGGCCAAGGTAATCACGATTCACAACCTTCTGTTTCTCAAATTCTCCATTCATTCGCCATTATTATAACTCTTTCCCGTTTTGATTTCGGATTGACTATAATTAAGTGAATTGATCATGATCATGTAATTAACTTGGCAGTTCTGGAAGCTGGAGAAGGTAAAATCAAAGTGACATGGGGTTTAAACAGAACCTTGCCGGCTGGGACGGACTCGGCCTACAAGAAGATCAAGGTGAAGCTGTGCTACGCGCCGATCAGCCAGAAAGATCGCGCTTGGAGGAAGACGGAGGAGGAGCTCTCGAGGGACAAGACTTGCCAGCACGACATCGTATCAAGACCCTACGATGCTTCCAACCCGACCACGCAGAGTTTCGAGTGGACTGTAGAGAAAGACGTGCCCACGGCCACGTACTTCGTGCGCGCCTACGCCTTTGACGCCGACGACCACGAAGTGGCTTACGGTCAGACCACGGACGCCGCCAAGACAAAAAATTTGTTCGAAGTGCAGGGAATCAGTGGACGCCATGCCTCCCTGGATATCTGCTCGGCTGTTTTTAGTGCTTTCTCTGTGGTGTCCCTCTTTTTTCTTCTATATTGAGAAGAGAAAGGCAAAGGTTTCCCAACCTAAGATAGAGATGACAAGTCAATAGTGTGTTACTAGGTAAAACGACATGCAGTACTGCGTTTCTATTCAGTGTTAAATTCCCCAAGCTTGTAGTCACTTTTACCCAGACTAAAATGGCCTTTGTCCCGTTGTCCAGGAAGGCAGAATTGTCTGGTTTGGAAGTTGGTGTTCCATTGTTGTTGTCTATATTTTTAAGGATATAAGGAAGAAATAAGTAAGGGATGGAATGCCACTCCTATTTTTACTTATTTGTCTGCAATATAGAGTTCTGTAAGTTCAGTCATTAATGCTGCCTTGTTAATTCGCATCATCCTCAGTTATTCTGCTCTAAAAATAAACTATAGATTTGATGAGGGGCTTAACTATTACGAGTTAAAATTATGCGGCAGCATTTATTCTTTTCTTAATTATCTATCTCGATCAAGCTTTATTAAATTACAGATATATACAAGTAACATTATCACTGGCCAAAGTGACACTATCTCACTCATGGGGAAGAAGACGGTTACGGTTTTTTATTTCTTAAACAATGTATTCAAATAGCCAGAGTGTCTAACAGAAGCAGTTTGCATTCTCATGGTTGGGAGTTGACCTTGAGGTTATTTACCCGTTGGTGGGGTGTGTGACACGGTCACAGAGCAAACGCTGAACTCCGGTGAGAAGCCAAAACATTCAGGTTAACAGGCTTACCCGTCACAATCAACGAACAGAAGAAGAATTGTGTGCGCCCGCGCGCGCGCGCCATAAGCAAACCCGTGTATTGCTTTTTACTTGTTAGAAGCGCAGTCATGGGAAAATACAATGTCAGGTAATCCCTAATACAAAGGGAAAAACTTGGACAAGCTGTTTACCGCTCATCAACATGCAAGTCATAATAAATTTATAGAAACATCAATTTCCCTCAGAGTTGGACTTACAATAAGATCCCAGCACGCTGTATCATCAAACAATTTGTGTCTTCCTTAAATTAAAAATCGCCTTGGGGACTAAAATGCATGTCTTCACTAGCCATTCTGCCTGTACCCACAAGTGATATCCTGTCAGTATAAACATTAATATATCCAAATGCATCCGTGCCGGGAGGACATTCTAAGGCAGCTTCGAGAACTCTATGATACACCCCATGGGAATCAATACAGAACCCACCTTTGTGATCGTGTCCAGCTAGACAGAGCTTAACGCAATTATATCGGTGAATCAAATCTATTACTTCATCGTAGTTCCATAACAGTGCCTCTCCGGTTGAGGCCCCTGGGTCTAGAGGCAGATGGCAACAGACCACCACCTTCTGTTTCAATTCAGTTGCTTCCTCAAGAACACCATTCAGCCATTCCATCTGTTCCTTTCCAACAGCTCCATTGAACATGAGAAACCTCCTTTCGAGCCCCATTAAACCTACAGGACTGTTCTTATCTACATTTGGATTCTTTTCTCGGAGGATTTTCAAGGCCTCCAATGTTCTTGGATGATCTTGAGGCCAACCAATGGCACTAACGTCATAGCCATCCAGAACTACAAATCTATATTCTGGCACAGGAGAAAAATCATAGTAAGCATGGCCCTCAGGACTCTGAATGTTCAATAGCGGAAGTAACTTGCTGCGAGGAAGGTTGTATAGACAGTGATTGCCTATCATATGATACACGGCTCCCTTGAACTTGTCAAATTCATTCACAACTTTCTTCACGGTACTATAAGATTGATCTTTGGGACAGTATCCATCAACAATGTCCCCAAAATTTATCACAAATTTATGCCGCTGATGATCATTCCACGCTTTCACTGCTCTCTGTAATACGAGAATGCTATGCCTATAATAACGAGGAACTCCAAGGAATGAGCGACCATCAGGAATGTCAGCATACTGGACATCAGAGATCAATCCAAATGAAAAGAGAGGTTCTCTCCCTTGTGAAATGGCTAGTCCTTTAGACGTACCCATGGTTCACACTTCTACAAGTTCCTGAGAGGGTATGAATTTATTGTCAGCCAAGAACTGAAGTGCTTAGAAGTTCAATCAAAACAAAATCAGGCAAGAAGCACCCATCTCATCCTGCCAGTCAACTTAGCTATCATCCGACAATTAACAAGAACAGTCACCGTCCAATTTACAGAAACGTCATAAGTTATTGTGAAGAATGTACAGAAGAACAAACAGAAGTAGCAGGCAATCAGAATGACCTGAGAATATAATACAAATTTTAGGAATATGGTTAACACAGATGCCAGTCTTACCGACTAATTTAGACTTTTTCTACATTCTCGTGCTTTAACTTAAAATCCCAGCTATCACTTAACCCAATTAGGTGTCTGGGAACAACGCTGGAAGACTTGTGATTGTTCCTATATTGAATGAAATTATACGTACATTTGACAAATTAACTTGATGGTTAGTATCAACACATTCCGGCATTCTTCAACGAATCCTTTGTTTGTTGAATGAACCCCAACAAAATTGAACCCCCAAATCACACAGCTGCTCGTGATCAACAATTCAAGATATCATCCCATCAACATATACAAATCAAATTAAGATATTCACATAAACCGCGACCCGTCGAATCTAATTCCCCGCTGTCCCTTTAGGAACGAAAGCGATGCAAAAAAATAAAGGGCATTTAAAAGGGAAAATCGCTAAAACACAGTACAGAAATAGAGTTTCCCCGGGGAAAAAGTGTAACAGAAATAATGAGCAAGCAAGAGTAATGAAATATAAGAGTAACCGCCGCGGGATGAAACTCCACGAAGAACTCATATTTGCTCCCGATCAATAAGCATCAGGAGGGATCAACTCATAACCCATCCAACGATACAAAAAGGACAATATTAACCCAGGAGAAAGAATCCACCAGACAAGAGGAGAGAGAAAGAGACGAAACGTACCAGTGCTAAGAAAATCGGAAAGAGCGAAACTTGATGAAAGAGGCGCGAGTTTATGTTTGCGTAAGAATTTGGATGTTGGAATGATGAAATGACTGTTTTTAAAGTGCGAGACACTTCAATTCTTCTCCAATCCCTGGGAGCCTTCTGGCATCTCGTCAGTTATCGTCTGGCTTCCCCGTAATTGATTCATTCAATTATTAAGAGATTTCAGAAGGGGGAACAAACAAAACTAGCCCTCAATGCGAGTACAATTTCAAGTGCAAGTGTGCAACCACACAATTCCATTTTTAAATATGTCGAGTAGCTCAAAGTAATCAATTAAGAATGTACTCGAGATTATATTACACGTGTCATGAGGACAGAAAAATAAAAAATATTTAAATAATAATTTTACGAAATTTAAAATAAGTATGTAAAAAAAATTTATTTTTTACTGAGAACACTTTTTAACACCCTTGAATATAATTGAATTGCATTTTGGTACGGGGGAGCAAAACGAAAAGCGTAGGATTCCCGTGAACAATAAATAATCAAAAAAGCGGTCACAAAAGGAATGAGGCCATTACGCCATACACGCGTCCAAAGATCCGGCGGACGGCAGTGTTTGACTCTACTTCCCATATGTGCGCATCACGCGCTTGCGTGGCGCCAATCACGAAATTTTGTGATGTTTTTGTTTGACTCCATGTGGCATTATCTAGGTAAAATCAATGAAATGTTTGAATATTGTTGTGAACACATATGAGAATGGAGGTGAAAAGAAGACCAAGAAAGTTGTGTACAGAGAGATATTTCAGAGTCTCAATACATGAAGACCATGACATGTTGTGTAATGGTTTGTAACTTGTGAAATGTGGACCTTTTTTTTGCATTTGTATATACTAACTACACTTCTTAACATACGAGCTAGTTTAACATTTAATTTGATTATAAATATAAGACCATGATTTACTTTATTTTCTATATTTATCTCTTTTTTTCTCTCCAAAATATCCTTATAATGATTGTAGATGTTAAAGGTTTATATGAAATGTTAATCCTAACACACATTATTAATAAGGATATTTCAGGGAAGACAACACCTATTAATTACAAATAATTAACTTAATAAATTTTCTTAGCCTGTTTCAATCAATTAGCTCTTATATTAAAGTCTGAACGTAGTATTAATTAATTTACATGACTTAAAATATAATTAATAGTTGCCTACGAATAACTAAATTCACGGTCCTTTGCTTCAAAGTTGGAAGTTTGGGCGGCCAAGAGACGAGAGCAAACAATTTTATCACGACGACATATTTTGAGAAGAAAGTTAAATCATAAATGCCGATAGAAGCATCATCAATTTCCGGCTTTTTTACTGATATACTGCAAACAGTAAAACATATTATCAAAATCTTGCAAAGTGAAAATTATTTACCAGAATACTATACTTAAAATCGTTCATAAAAAGAACGAGTTTAAGATCGTAAGAAAGTCGTTCATGCGAAGATGAATTTTACCTTTGCTATTTGTCCCATTGTCCTAATAAGTCTAACACATACATTATTTTGAATAAAAAAGTAAACTTCATCACACATAGATCGATTTTGCCTTGCTCTCTCCTCTCTCTTCTCTCCTGCCATCGGAATCAAACGGAATATTTGAAAGATTGATGAGTAAGTAATAGTTTGAAAAAACACACGGTGATGGCTATTTGGGGGAGGAAAAAAATGATTGATAGAGTTAATTTACAAATTATGGGATGAAGTAAAATAGAAAAATCAAGTATACACTCAGTTAATTCTTAATATAAGATCTATTTATCTAATTTAAATAAATTAAAGAAACTAAATTAATTACTTGATTATGAATATGAGAAAGAAGGTAGATAAATGACTTACACTTAGGATCAAAATTTACCCTCAGACTAAGTCCTACATTCAGGATAGGAGGAGTTTATTATATCAAAAAATTTAAAAAGTGTTTTAATTTGAAAAAAAATTATAAATATGAGAGATAATATAGATAAAGGTCTTACATTTAGGGAAAAAAATTATAAATATAAGAAATAAAATAAATAAAAAATATTATATTTTTGAAAAAAATGATAAATACGAGAATTAAGATAGATATAAATATGAAAGATAGGATAGATAAAGATCTTACATTTAGAAAAAAATTATAAACATGAGAAATAAAATAGATAAAGATTTTATATTTAGAAAAAATAATAAATATGAGAATTAAGATAGATAAAAGTCTTACATTTGGAAAAAAAATACTTTTACATTTTTTGATATAATATACTCCTCCTGTCCTGAATGTAAGACTTAGTCTAAGGGTAAATTTTGATCCTAAGTGTAAATCATTTATCTATCTTATTTATGATATTCATAATCAAGTAATTAATTTAGTTTCTTTAATTTATTTAAATTAAATAAATAGATCTTACATTAAGAATTAACTGAGTGTATATTTGATTTTCCTATTTTACTCCATCCCATAATTTGTACATTAACTCTATCAATCATTTTTTTCCTCCCCCAAATAGCCATCACCGTGTGTTTTTTCAAACTATTCCGTACTCATCAATTTTTCAAATATTCCGTTTGATTCCGGTGGCAAGAGAGAAGAGAGAGGAGAGAGCAAGGCAAAATCGATCTATGCGTGCTGAAGTTTACTTTTTTATTCAAAATAATACATGTGTCAGACTTGTTAGGACAATGAGACAAATAGCAAAGGTAAAATTCATCTTTGCATGAACCATTTCCTTGCAATCTTAAACTTGTTCTTTACATAAATGATTTTAAGTATAGTATTCTGGTAAATAATTTTCACTTTACAGGATTTTGGTAATATGTTTTACTGTTTGCAGTATATTAGTAAAAAAGCCTCAATTTCCAACACAACTTGTGTACTCGACAGCTCAAGGAAAAAGAAGGAAAAAAAAAAAAAAAGGGGTCCTCTTCCTCTCGATCTCTGCGCTCACGAAAATTTCTCTCTTCTTATTCTTAACTTGACTACTACCTATTGCTTTGCTTCCATTTCTCTCTGTTTCAAAGAGGAATGAAAGCAGAACAATGTGTAGGACTATAACGTGAAAAAAACCCAAACATAGTTTAGCGTGGGTCAGAAGTTTAAGGCTTGGATGGATGTTATAGTAGACTAAGATAAATTAGGACCAGTCACATTCAGCCATACATTCATATGCCTCTCTCAGGATTAAAAGTTGAATGACGATCATCCCACAATCATTTGCCACAAAAGGTTCTCGCAACTATTTGTATCCTACAATTCTGAAGTTCAATCTCATCTCAAAATACACGATAACCACAAATGGGAGAATGAACATGGATCCAAAATCAGATCGAAGTAATACTTACCTACCGCCCTCCTGTCCTCATATACTATTTCTATCTTAAATATAAAAGCTAGTTGATTAATCTGATAAGATTAAGAAAAATAAGTTAAATTAATTATTTTTAATAAATAGATGTTTTTTTTAAAATATCTTTACTAATCAAATATATTGGTTAGAGCTACCATTATTAAAAAACTACTTTGAAAAAAATATATAAATATGAGAGACAAAATAAATTAGAATCTTATATTTAAAATTAAAATAAAAATTAAATGAGATCTAATATTAACGACAGAAGGTAGTACTGTATTTCGCTAAATTCCATGATGATTCGACTGCAAACAAAATATAGCGTGAGAGTTTGTCAGACTCGCACGATTTGAGTGTCATTTATTAATTGACGATGAGGTGTTTGGATCTCATGTAAACATCTTGTCAAATCAAAACACGGTAGGTAATTTACTCTCGACTCTCCCTGTTTCTTTTTCACGTTCCATGGAACCGTATGCAACGTAAATTTCTAACATTTTGCATTTAGGTAAAAGTTATCACCACAAAAAGATTAAAGGTGCCATTTATACCATGCGTAATGAAGTGGGAAAGATTCAAATTGCACAATGAGAGGATAGCCACCAAGAAAAGTGAAAAAAAAAAAATTGCCGTGATATCAAAATTCCCTTGCCTTAGTTGGAAATGGCTGTGCCATCATTCTCCCATCATCCCACGCAGGTTTATGTGGTTATCATGTAATTAGAAACGGCAGCTACACTGTATACATAAGTGGAACTCAAGCTTTCAGAGCTAACACAGAAGATAGAAAATGCCAAGTTACATGGCGCAAGACAACACTTCCTGGTTGCTCCTTATCTTACCCATCTTCCTCATTCTACTATTCAAATGGTATTCCAAGTCTGCAATCAGCAAAAGCTCACTCCCTTCTCCACCAAAATTGCCAGTGATAGGAAATCTCCATCAACTAGGTTTGTACCCTCCCCCTACCCTCCAGTCTCTGGCTCAGAAGTATGGCCCCTTGATGCTTCTTCATCCTGGGAGAAAAGCAGTACTTGTAGTCTCTTCTGCAGAAGCTGCTCGCGAGGTGATGAAAACCCATGATCTTGTGTTTTCAAACAGGCCTAAGCTTAAAATGTTTGATATGCTATTATATGGCAAGGACGTTGCATCAGCTCCATGTGGAGAATACTGGAGGCAGTTAAGAAGCATCTGCGTGTTGCCTCTTCTGAGTAACAAAATGGTTCAATCCCTTCGCGGTGTGAGAGAGGAAGAAACTTCCATAATGATGGAAAAGATCAAGCACGCTTGTTCTGCTAACAGATCAGTGAACTTGAGCGAGTTATTTTCATCGATTGCGAACGATGTGGTTTGCAGGGCGGCTTTAGGCAGGAAATATGGCGAGGGGAGTGGGAGAAAATTTATGGAGTTACTAGACAACTTTGGAGAGCTAATGGGTTCTTTTGTGTTAGGGGACTATACACCTTGGCTTGATTGGCTTGGTCATGTGAATGGCTTTTACG